CCTGATATGTCACACATGCAAGGCAGCAGGGAACTGACTGATAAACAAAGGTGGGGAACAAGGTTGGCTAGAAGTAGTTTGTAAGGATTTAACATTGTACTAAATACAGCAATTTACAGCAAACACTCCCCCTGGTGCGAATCTTAAGAAGTAGTGAGGCACTGGTGTACATGACTACTGGCGTTTGTTTATCAATGTTGCTACGTAATGTGAATGATGCAACGAATGCAAGTGATTTTTTATGAATATAAATAGGGGCTAAACTATCTTATATTAAATATTCATAACCTTGCTTTTAAATATCTATGTATAACCTTACTTTTAACAATTTATGTATAATCTTACTCTTAAATATCCATAACCACACACTATATTGTTCAACTTATTCCCCGGGCTGATCCTCCCACACTACACAAGAGGGGAACAAATGCTAATAATGAATGGTAACGAAGTTAACACTTTAGTGCGCGCGGCACTAGCTGGAAAAAAAAGCGGGTTGTGCGCGCGGCGTTCTGGGAGCTCAAGCGTAAACACAAAAAAGTTTATAATCTTTTCACGCTCCTAACATCAATTCTCGAGCTACGTTTTTCATTTTGGTATCAATGCGTTGGCAATAAAATTCTCTACAAGATCATATGCATAAAATGTCACCCAAGCATTTGGTATCCCCCACGAAGTAAATAAACACGAAGATGACTCGCCGTGACACCCAAACAGGAAGTAAATGTTTATACTCTTTCGTTTGTTACCAGCTTCACAGTCATCCTACAGCGCTTATTTTGATATCACTGAACTCGCAATAAAATTCCCCACCCAGACATATGCCTATCAATGTCTAATTATGTTCCGTACGAGTGTGGAACTGGGCGAAGCGTTAGCCGTGATTTCAGCAGCGACGACACTGTTGTGATGCAGCGCTTTGAAAGTTTATACTTATTTCACCGTCATGACATTATTTCTCGAGCTACGTATTTCATTTTTATAGCAATGTGTTCGCAATAGAACATTCTATAAGAACATGGGTAGAATTGGCCAACAGAGCGTCAAATAAATTTGTGGCGAATAAAATCTTACACGAATCTTACGCGTGTTTTTACACGTGAGCGTAAAAAGTTTTTACTTTGCTCATGTTTTATCAAGTTTATACTTGATTCACTCCGTTTTTTTTGTTTGTATAGTGTTCGGAATAAAATTCTCTACACAGACATTGCATATAAATGTAGAATCATGATCGCGGCCAACACAAGAGTGTGTGGAGTGCGCGATTACCATCGTTGTGACACCAATTCAATAGTCTCTCCTCTAAGTTACAATACATTGCCGTTTTCTCAAATAGGCACAGTGCCTATTAGAGAAAACAAAAATTTAATGGTAAACATATTCATACAAACCCCAAGTCGATCGAGTAGTAAATACCCAATATAACACTGTCCGTAAATTTACGTCGTGATCCGACAAGCGGTTAGGGAAACCGCCCGTAAGTCCAAGTCGAAAATCCAGGAAAGTGTTAAAAAATCCAGAGTTGAACGTAACGAATAATATAATAATAATAATAATAATAATAATAACTTTTATTTAGGTAAGGTACATACATAAAGAGATTTTACAAAGTTTGTTGGCTTTATAGATAGAGCTAGTACATACAATGCCTAAAGCCACTATCAGGATCGGGCCAAGATCGCTATGGTGGTTCCCCGAATTACCCACCTGTATACCCCTCAAGGCTTAGATACCCCCACCAGGCTCTTTCAAATCACGAGTGCCTACTGGAGGTACAGTACAGTAGTAACAAAATTTCTTCCCCCTCAATGGAGACGAGGAGAGACTGGGAATGTATATAGCTCATCCCAGGCTCAAAAACACAACCAATCAGCAAGGTGTAGTCCCTCAAAAATTAAGGAGTTGCGTGTAAAGCATTAGCAACCCTAGTACAAACTACCGGGTATGGTAACACTCGTCCACAACCAACAGGCAGCTAGCAACACTGCTGCTCACCACCAGATGGTAGGACCTGGTGATTCTGGGTCTTAGCTGGCTGCCTCTAGCATGCACCACCCAGAGGATATCCCCCCCCCCCCCTACAAATACTACAAGAAGAGAGGAAGACAAGAACCAGAAGGACCCACAGGAAAGAGGTGATCATTATGTTCAGTGCTGGATTTCTGGGAAGTTGTCAGGTCGACCACCCGATCACCCAACCCACAATGACCCTGTGGAGGAGGCGGCCAGTTGTTGTTCAACTGTTCCCCCATCAAAGGTATAAACAACAAAAGCCCAAAGTCAAAGGCAGTGCCAAAGCCCAGAAACTACGTACCACATAACACCTACTTCAACCAGGAGAAGCCATAGCAAGCAAGCAATCACCTCATCCAGGAACAGGAGAGGAGAAAGGGGTAAAGCAGACATGAGGGGTAAAAGTGGCCAAGCTTACTCCTGTACGTGGTAAACCACAGCCTGCCGACATGCCAAACAAGTCGCAAAGAAGTCCACTACTTTTTTTTCTTTATTTATTTATATATACAAGAGTTCTTACATTCTTATACAGCCACTAGTACGTGTAGCATTTCGGGCAAGTCCTTAATCCTATGTTCCCTGGAATACAACACCGCAAAAAATCGTTTAACAACCAAGTACCCATTTTACTGTTGAGTTAAACAGAGGCTACAGTTAAGGATTTGCGCCCAGTAAATCCTCCCCGGCCAGGATACAAACCCAGGACAGAACGCTCGCAAAACGCCAGGCGAGCGTCTTAATCACTACACCACGGGGACTGACTTGTAATAGATGGATAAGCAGCCTGGGAACAGCCTCCACCTTCACTACTGCTGGCAAAAGAGCCTACACCTGTCACTGATGCTAAGAAGTCCAGACCTCAACAAAGTTGGAAATGTTTAAGGGTAACATAGACCCAAACTCAAAAGAGGCCAAGTCTATCACAAGCAAGATCCCAGCCCATCAACAGGAAATGAAACATGTCTGCCCACACTGCAGCAAAGAAAAGACAAAGAAAACCTGGACGGGTAAAAAAACAAAACTTAAACCAGCCTGTGACAAAAATGCAATGGCAGGTAGAGGGACGGTGACCACAGCAAACTCAAACAGCAACAGAATATTGGAAAACTCCACCAGGCTCTTTAATCATGAACATACATCACCCCCCATCCTCCACAACTCTCGAGACCTCTCCACCAGAAACTACAGAAAGCCCATGGGAAGAATCAGGCTCACTGCTGGATGTTGCAGACGACCAACACAAGGTCCCCAAAACACACAGAAGGCAATGCTAAAAAAAGAAAAATAGGAAGCCCTGTCCTATAAAGCAAGCCACATACCACAATGGGGGCTCAAGCGATGACAGCGGTCCAATGGTGACAAACTTTGCAGCCCTAGAGATGAAAACGGCACAAGAAGCAGAATGATAGAGACAAGGTGCTTCATCAGCATGGACCAAACCTGCAGAACACCTTCAAAAAACTACAAACAGCCAGCCAGACTCCACGGAATGCTCCAAACTTCCGACAGAAACATGACACACGGAGGACAATAGCACCAATCTGGTGAAACAAGTTGGATCAAGGAAAATTTATGTTTATCTCTCAGAATGTTCGGTAATACGTTTATTGCTTGTGATGTATATCTATGTATTAACACGATGTACTGAACGGGGTGAGAATAGCTTGAGCTACCTCATCCCTTTGTGTGTATTTTACCTCAAACTTGTTTCAATTTCAGTTGGATCCAGTCACTGGGCAATAAACCTTGATATTCAAGCGAACCTTCTAACCAGGGAACATGTGGTGCAGGGATGCAAAAGCCATCACTCAAGCCAAGTAGCCATAAACAAACCCATATAGTGCCCCAGAGGAGTAAGAGCACCAGCACTACCTGAGGTAAAGACCCTCAAAGAGGAAGAAACTGAAGGGAGCAAATTCATGAACCCTCTTGGGGAAGATACCATTATTGAAGGCATTGAAAATGCCAGCAGCAACTAGGAAGAAGATACCTTTAGTCACACACACGGTTGCACCGGATGCATGACTAACTGGGGCAGCTGGCTGGGACGCCCAAGTGGCCAGGGATGCCATCTGGCAGCGACCAATGGCTACTAACCACCTGTTGTTTCTGGACGAGTATGTACATAGTTTGTATCATAATTACCAATATTTTCCACGCAAATGCTTGCTTCAGGGCATTCTACATCTGTTGGAGCATTTTGTGATTTTGGCCTGGGTTGACCTAGGCTTCTATTAGATTCCCCTTCACTCTATTGAATGAGACAGACTCTGGTACTGGTCTCCGGCAGGCAACCATTACTTGAAAGCCTGGTGTGGGTGCCGAAGGCATGGGGGTGTCCAGGTGGATAGCTCCGGGAGACATCACACAGAGCCCTCCCAGAAAACCAACCATCAGATAATGTAAATGAGTTAGTTATGGTTTAATAGCTCACTAAGTGAAGACAATTATGTTAATAAAATACAACATGAACCTTGAGAATCTACCTACCAGACTACCAAATTCTCTACCCAATACAGGTTTTACACGAGGATAGATACTGCCATAATTGACACACGTTTTGGTCCAGGACGGACCAAAACGTCGTCGTCCCTTCACCTTCTAGTGTGTGGTCTGGTCAACATACTTTAGCCACGTTATTGTGACTCCTCGCCTGCGTAATTGACACGTTACACAATGCATGAGAAAAGATGGTGTCTGATGAACCAAAAATGCAACATACACAACACTGAAGCAGTGTTCCAAAATATGTATAGCCACTTAGAATTACTTTATGTAAATTAATAAATCATGCCAGGTGTATAAGTTTTCATGAATGTGTCCCATTCAATTCCTTACAGAAGTAATATACACACAGACAGTGGCAAGTTTAATGGAAAAAAACAACAACAATCCATGAAATGCTCTTAATATAACTTTACAGAAAGAATCTCTCAAAAATATAATTATATCCTTAACATGAACAAGATTTTATAGTTTACACGTACCCATCCACATCTTCTTGATGAGATCCAGGAGAGTACGGGGAGGCAGAACATGGCTGTGGTCCAGGGCCATGACGTAGCAGCGGCCAGAGGTGAGATCAATGATGCCAGTCGTGTTCTGATGAATATCATCATATTATATACACTGTAATGGTAAGCAACCTCAAACAACCCTCAATATTACACAACTTATACTTACATGTAAAATATTGTAAACGTGCGGGTAAAATGAACGGATGAACACTCATCAGTACAAAAAATATAAGCAAAATGTCTCTCGGTTATCTACAACATGGTAGAAATGCACACACAAACAATATCGTGTATATTTAACGATAAGAATACCCACCCCTTCCCTTCCAGTCAAGTCTTAGTTCATATACATAGAATACAAATCAAAACACTTACCTAATATATACTGGTAGTTGAAATATAACTGTGGTCAACATGTGTCATCTCAAAAAGATGGACTACTCGTCCGTCGAAAGAAAAGAGCACGGGCACAATCATGCCCGCTGACATCAATGCGCTTCTCAATTACGCACTTCACTTAAAACATGTAGCTTGTATAACCTTGCTCGAGGTGGCTGTTCACACGATCCATTTAGATGTTGCGAGATAATCGCCAACAGATACTGCAATAGGGTTTGATTGCATAACTGAAGTACCCTACATGAAGCTCTTCCCACAAATGTTACATGAAGCAAGTCGAGCCTGGGAAGGTTTGTCCCGACAAGACACCACGACATCTCTTATTGTTGCGGCAGTTTGAACTGGACATGGGCTGCAGGCCGTGTGGGGGGGCAACAGTGTTAGTGTACAGCTCGCTCTATTGGAGTAGTTGGTCATGGATTACTCAACAGAACCACACCTCAGTCAAGTAGTTTAAGGGAGCACCGGTAGTCAAAATTAGTACAACTAATATAATTCCACCAGCCTCTGAAATGCTTTGACTCGAGTCTATGGTAACAGTCCTAAACAGTACTAAAGAAATTGTTCACAACCTTTGTGAGACCAAAGTTGGAAAGTTGAAATATACAGCGGTTGTATGGTGCCCATGTCTTATGAAGCACATCAACTGGAAAAGGTGCAAAAACATGCAACTAAATGGCTCCTTGACCTGAAGGACAAGACCTATGAGGAGAGGTTAGAGGCATTAAATATGCCAAAACTAGAAGATAGAAGAAAAAGAGGCGATATGATCACTACGTACAATATAGTAACAGGAATCGATAAAATTGATAGGGAAGCATTCTTTAGACCCGGAACTTCAAGAACAAGAGGTCATAGATTTAAACTAACTAAACAAAGCTGTGGAAGAAATAAGAAAATTCACTTTCACAGAGTGGTAGACGGTTGGAACAAGCCAAGCGAAAAGGTGATGGAGGCCAAAATCGTCAGTAGTTTCAAAGCATTATGTGATAAAGATTGCTGGGAAGACAGGACACCACGAGTGTAGCTCTCATCCTGTAAATGCACTTAGGTAATTACCTAGCATTTAAATAGACGATCTAACGTTTAGGGAGCATAACCAAGCAAATATCGCGTCAGCCAGAAAAATGATCGGATGGATTACGAGAACTTTCAAATCCAGGGATCCCATCACAATGGTTGTACTCTTCAAGTCACTTGTGCTGTCCCGTCTCGAGTACTGCTCAGTACTCACTTCCCCCTTCAGAGCAGGAGAGATTGCTGAAATAGAGGGAATACAGAGAACATATACGGCACGCATAGACGAGATAAAACACCTAAATTATTGGGATCGTCTCAAAGCTCTCCAAATGTACTCTCTAGAAAGGAGACGAGAGAGATACCAAATAATATACACATGGAAAATACTGGAGGGTCAGGTCCCAAATCTACACAGTAAAATAACAACGTACTGGAGTGAACGATATGGAAGAAAATGCAAGATTGAACCAGTGAAGAGCAGAGGTGCCATAGGCACAATCAGAGAGCACTGTATAAACATCAGGGGTCCGCGGTTGTTCAACGTCCTCCCAACGAGCATAAGAAATATTGCCGGAACAACCGTGGACATCTTCAAGAGAAAACTGGACGGTTTTCTAAGAGAAGTTCCGGATCAGCCGGGCTGTGGTGGGTACGTGGCCCTGCGGGCCGCTCCAAGCAACAGCCTGGTGGACCAAACTCTCACAAGTCGAGCCTGGCCTCGGGCCGGGCTTGGGGAGTAGAAGAACTCCCAGAACCCCATCAACCAGGTATCAACCAGGTAGGTACCCAGAGTTAGGTGACGATTGCATGTTGCATTCTGGCTGGAAAAAGTCAATATTTGGTCCATAAGCCTCTATACAGTCTTCTTGTCTCCGACAACAGGAATTATTAAAATGATAGAATTTAGTAATATTTCCAACAGTAAACTAAGTTAATCATGATCAATGAGTTCAGGTTGGCTTCAACAACAGGGTGCACCATAATCATACTAATAGAGTACTGTAAATGCCAAAGGATTATTGTAAATGCATCAAAACTTACAAACTTGAAGTCGTGAATGAAGCGCCCCTGACGACCAATGCCAAAGTCTGGAACACGAATCTCCTCGTAGCTGTCCTCGTCCAAGTCCAACTCAAACTCTTCCTTGAACAGGCTTTCCGAAGTCCACTCAGCATCATCATCGCCCTGAATGATAAACCACCACCATCACACACTTAACACAATAAGTATTTTATAAGACACTGATGCAATATGCACCCAACACGTGTAAGGTAATGTAGGTAGGTAATGGAGAAAGGAAACCAGGAGGCATTTACATCACAAGGGAAATGCAATTACAGGAATCGGGAAGAAAATGATTTGGGAGTGGCTATAATCCCAACACTAATACCAGAGGGTTACACAAAGTACAATAACATCAGCAGCAAATGGGAAGCAGGCATACATTAGTACAGCATAGAATAAAGACCAACACTTGTGTATTTGTGAAATTCATGTAAGGAATTTACACAAGTCTTTTGCACTCTGAGTGCTTTGTCAATGTCTAAGTGTGTTGGTTTGGGGACGAGACTTACATCTCGTCGTCTAATGAGGCTGATGTCCCAGGTCCAATCCTCTTATCCTTCTCGACCTTCTGACCATGTCACCTCTTAGTCCCGACTTCTATGTACCTGCGGTAATGTCTTCTACGGAATTATGGTCAGGTGTTCTTTCTGTAATCCTGCTATTCTGAGAACTAGAGTTATTAATAGAGGCGTTCATCTGGATGCTATCCCTTGTAACCCTCTCCACGAGGACAGCAGCCTCAGTAGACGTTGAGATGCAAGTCTCGTCTTAACCACACACACAGACTTTGACAAAGCACTCGGGAAGTGCAAAAGACTTGGTGTAAATTCCTTACATGAATTTTACAAATACACAAGTGTGGGTTTTGATCCTATGTTATTATGTCTGAGAGAAGACATTACTATTACCAATTAGTTCAGTATGCCTTTTAGAAACCTACATCATGACACTTTCAAGTAATCCACACAGCCCATGTTAGATGAATATTGCAACGTATAACACCAGCCTACAATCTGTACCTTCTTAACCCTTAAACTGCTCCCATCACCCTTGCAATAGATGCCTGTGTTCCAATCACCTGCGTGAGGCCACATGTGCCCTGTAATATTCAGAAGTCCCACTGGCAATTATTTTCCATATTGGGAAATAGGCCAGAAACCCCTATAGTTTCCTTCCTGGGCCTTAATAAAAAGATGGCCACTATGTTTTGTGCATCACCAACCACTGACTGATGCCCATGCAAGAAACCACTCATGCATGCAAAATTGCAAGGAATTTTAAGGACCTTGAAGACCTTAGTGTTGAGGAGGAATCAATTACAAGTAGTTAACATGGAAATGATCCCTCAGAACATGATGTCAACATTTCACCTCACTACGATCAAACTATAATGTACAATTTTTCCCCCAAACATCGGTAAGCAGTGTTTTATGTTTTCTTTTTTTTAATGCACACAAGCATATCTACATGCACAAAAAACATGCAGAGATGCATGCATGAGAAAACATGCACTCTCTTGAACATTATATTGTAGAATGTCCCATACTGACTGACTTTCGCCCTCCTGGGCTAAGGTATGCTGAACTCTGTAATTACTATATGAGTACTGGAACACTTCATGATATATTGGACTTGTATCCAAGATTGACCATGTAATATATCAATCATACAATGTATATATATGTGGTAACTATATAACCTGAGCTTGTAAAAGCACCTTCATCACCTTCAGTGATTAAGTGCTTAATTGCACACTAGTTTCTTTATCAGCTACCTCACCCTGTCAGAGTAAATGAGACAAATGTATGTGAATGCATGTGTGTGTATATATGTATGTGTGTATGTATATGTATGGGTATAAAGTATATATGGAAGCTGATCAGAATTACATTTCACCTTTGTGAATGTACATTAATGACACTATGTAAAAGACACATCCAACACTTTATGTAGGGCATACGTAAATCTGTGTATCCATGTATTTATGTATGTAGGTTAGCTTAGCATTTTAAAAGCACCGAATCACCTTCTGTGGTTGAGTGTTCAATAAACCCTTGAACTATATGTTTAACACTTCTCTAACCCTGTCCATGGAGGACAGAAGAAAATGTATATATGCTGGTTAGCATTGTCAATGTCTGGCCATGTCTGTGGTAGAAAATAATAATAACAATAATAATAATAATAATAATAAAAAAAAGGATATCTACCTAAGGCTGGGCAGGGCACGGCAAGGCAGGGCAAGGCAGGGCAGGGCAGGGCAAGGCAGGGCAGGGCAAGGCAAGGCAGGGCAAGGCAAGGCAGGGCAAGGCAGGGCAAGGCAAGGCAGGGCAAGGCAGGGCAGGGCAAGGCAAGGCAGGGCAAGGCAAGGCAAGGCAGGGCACGGCAAGGCAAGGCAGGGCAGGCAGGGCAAGGCAGGCAGGCAAGGCAAGGCAGGGCAAGGCAAGGCAGGGCAAGGCAAGGCAGGGCAAGGCAAGGCAGGGCAGGGCAGGGCAGGGCAAGGCAGGGCAAGGCAAGGCAAGGTAAGGCTAGGCTAGGGCAAGGCAAGGCAGGGCAGGGCAAGGCAGGGCAAGGCAAGTCAGGGCAGGGCAAGGCTAGGCTAGGCCAGGGCAAGGCAGGGCAAGGCAAGGCAAGGCAAGGCAGGGCATGGCAAGGCAGGGCAAAGCAAGGCTAGGCAGGGCAGGGCAAGGCTAGGCAGGGCAGGGCAGGGCAAGGCAGGGCAAGGCAGGGCTAGGCAAGGCAGGGCAAGGCTAGGCTAGGCAGGGCAAGGCTAGGCTGGGCAAGGCTAAGCTAGGGCAGGGCAGGGCAGGGCAGGGCAAGGCAAAGCTAGGGCAGGGCAAGGCTAAGCCAGGGCAGGGCAAGGCAGGGCAGGGCAGGGCAGGGCAGGGCAAGGCAGGGCAGGGCAGGGCAGGGCAGGGCAAGGCAAGACAAGGCTAGGCAGGGCAGGGCTAGGCAGGGCAGGGCAGGGCAGGGCAGGGCAAGGCAGGGCAAGGCTAGGGTAGGGCAGGGCAAGGCAAGACAAGGAGGCAGGGCAGGGCAGGGCAGGGCAAGGCAAGGCAGGGCAGGGCAGGGCAAGGCAGGGCAAGGCAGGGCAAGGCAGGGCAGGGCAGGGCAGGGCAGGGCAGGGCAGGGCAGGGGCAAGGCAGGGCAGGGCAAGGCAGGGCAGGGCAAGGCAGGGCAGGCAGGGCAGGCAGGGCAAGGCAGGGCAGGGCAGGGCAGGCAGGGCAAGGTCGGGGCAGGGCAAGGCAGGGCAGGGCAGGGCTAGGCTAGGCAGGGCAGGGCAAGGCAGGGCAGGGGCAAGGCAGGGCAAGGCAGGGCAGGGCAGGGCAGGGCAGGGCAGGGCAGGGCAGGGCAAGGCTAAGCTAGGGCAGGGCAGGGCAGGGCAGGGCAAGGCAAGGGCAGGGCAGGGCAAGGCAAGGCAAGGCAGGGCAGGGCAAGGCAGGGCAGGGCAGGGCAGGGCAGGGCAAGGCAGGGCAGGGCAGGGCAGGGCTAGGCACGGCAGGGCTGGGCACGGCAGGGCTGGGCACGGCAGGGCTAGGCACGGCAGGGCAGGGCAGGGCAAGGCAGGCAGGGCAGGGCAAGGCTAGGGTAGGGCAGGGCAAGGCAAGGCTAGGCAGGGCAAGGCAAGGCAAGGCAAGGCAAGGCAAGGCAAGGCAAGGCAGGGCAGGGCAAGGCAGGGCAGGGCAGGGCAGGACAGGGCAGGGCAAGGCAAGGCAAGGCAAGGCAAGGCAGGCAGGGCAGGGCAGGGCAGGGCAGGGCAGGGCAGGGCAGGGCAGGGCTGGACTGGACTGGACTGGACTGGACTGGGCAGGGCAGGGCAAGGGCAAGGGCGGGGCTGGACTGGGCTGGACTGGGCTGGGCAGGGCTGGACTGGGCAGGGCAGGGCAAGGCAAGGCAAGGCAAGGCAGGGCAGGGCTGGGCTGGGCTGGACTGGGCAGGGCTGGACTGGGCAGGGCTGGGCAGGGCAGGGCAGGGCAGGGCAGGGCAGGGCAAGGGCAAGGGCAAGGGCAAGGGCAAGGGCAGGGCAGGGCAGGGCAAGGCTAGACTAGGCTAGCCTAGCCTAGCCTAGGGAATAGACAAAGTGGAATAAAGGAATAGAATACAGTGGAATAGAAAAAGGGAATAAAGGAAACAAAGTGGACAAAGGCAACAAGAACAGCCGATTTAAACAAAGGCGAACGAGAGCACTTAAGTGGAAGCTGGAAACAATTTTTTTAAATTTTTAGTAATGTTAGGAGAGACACTCATACCCTGTACAGCTAGTCCATAGGTGGAATGCACTGATACTAGTAGTTGCAGAAGCCCCCCTCTATCTACAACTTTAAGGTCAGATTCGACAAAGAATATGAACGTCGGAATAGTTAAAACTATAAAGCAACAAGTACAACACGGCTAATAAGTGGGGCATAGAGAGCTAGACCTCACGCCACTGTAGTCACTGAAAGGTAAATATTGATAGGCAAGTACTCTCTCCACTCAGCCCCCCCCACACTATGATGGGCAGCTTTAGCACATTTCTAAGGCTATAGCATTGGTTGTTTGATCATAAAGACGAAGAGAGGTTAACAAATAGGCGAGTACAAATAGGTGAGTACACACACACACTAAGCAAATGGCAGCAGAGCCAAAGCTAGCGAAATACGACACACCATTCTGACACCGACTAGACCGCCATGCCCCTAATTTCAATAACAGACAACTCTGCACTCGGGGTCAAATGGCTGCCCTCCACACCACAACCACCAGGATATTACATCAAATGACGGACGAACTATGACCTGTTGATTATTTGTTCTATATTGAAGAATTTGCGGCATAAACTAAAAATAAAGAACAGTATTATTAATAGAAGGAAAATACGATTATCTACAACAGAAAAGTTATTCACATGAGCAGATTTTTTTGTTTTTTTTCCAAGCATTTAACCCAACATGCGTTATACATGCATTCTTGGAGAAGAGGAGCAGGATAAATTAACCAACTAAACTTTAAGCCAATAAAGATCGCTCACTGGCAGAACAAACTATATAGATTGGATTCAGTATCCACATATATTAACATCTTTGTCATCACCAGTCATCAGAACCCACCTGTATCACTCACCATATGACAACACTTGCCAACTTCTCTAGATAACATCTAGAGCTTAACTTCAAACACAAGCAAGCAAAAGGAATGCACACACACACACACACACACATTTACCAGCAACATGGTTACATCATGACAAGAACACAACATTTGACTGACAATAACGTACATACAAACATGTATGCAATACTATGCACACTGTATACACAAACAACAATCATAAAATTATAATAGAAAAAATACAAATAAAATAATAATTCAGCATAACACACATTAAAAACATTCAAAACACAAGCATTAACATACAAAACCAACATACACACAAGAAACTACTGGAACAACAGACCACCAGAGAGCAGGGAGAGATACTAGAGGGCCAGGAATGAGTACCTCAGAGTGAGGAGAGGAGCAGAGAGGAAGTATGAAAATAACACAGCGAGTAAAACCAAGACCCAACCAAAACTGCTTCAGTCACATCAGGAGGAAAACAACAGTGAAGGAGCAAGTGATAAAATTGAGAAAAGGGGAGAAAAGATACACAGAATAACAAGGAGGTGTGAGAAGAACAAGAGACTCCAGGTCGTCTTCACAATAGAACAAGGAGAAGCCCTTACCCTAAATGAGGCGGCGGCAAACTAAGCAACCTTGGAGAAATTTGAACTCACCAGTGATGAAGTAAAAAGAATCTGTTGGAGCTGAATGTGACAAAGGCTGTTGGGCCTGACAGAATCTCACTGTGGATACTAAAAGAGTGCAGATGCACCAAGTGCACCATTCTTTATGGTGTATAACAAGTCACTGTAAACAAGAGACCTACTGGAAAGCTGAAAGACAGCTAATGTAGTCTCTCTCTATACAAAAAGGGTGAAGGCAAGAGGCACTGAACTACAGGCCAGTTTCCCTAACTTGTATACCATGCAAGGTGATGGAGATCGTGAGTAAAAGGCTCGTAGAACATCTGGAGGACAATAGCTTTGTACACACCACCAGAATGGGTTCAGGGATGTTATGCCTCACAAGCTCAATAGAATTCTATGACCAAGCAACAAAAATTAGGCAAGAAAGAAGGGTGGGCAGATTGTATTTTTTGGACTGCCAAAAAGTCTTTGACACAGTACCCCATAAAAGTCTGTTACAAAAGTTGGAGCAACAGGCAGGAGTAAAAGGTAAGGTGCTTCAGTGGATAAGAAAGTATCTAAGCAACAGGAAACAGTGAGTAACTGTGAGGGGGGGGGGGGGGGGAGGGGGGAGACATCAGAGTGGCGAGATGTTACCAGGAGAGTCCCACAGGGCTCTGTACTTGGACCTACAGTATCCTGTTTCTAATATATGTAAACAATCTTCCGGAGGGTATAGACTCATTCCTCTCAATGTTTGCTGATGATGCAAAAATTATGAGAAGAATCAAGACAGATGTAGACAGACAGACTACAGGACGACCTGGACAAACGGGAGGAATGGTCTTGAAAATGGCTACTAAAGTTCAACTCGGGAAAGTGTAAAGTAATGAAATTAGGCGAAGGGAGCAGGAGGCAGAACACACAGTACCATCTGGAAGGCAAAATCCTGCAAGAGTCAAATAGAGAGAAAGATCTGGGGGTTGATATCACACTGAACCTGTACCCAGAAGACCACATCCAAAGGATATAATTAGTGGTATATGCTAGATTGGCCAACATAGGAACTACCTTTAGAAACCTGTGTAAGGAATAATTCAGGAGCATTCATATCACTTATGTCAGACCAATCCTGGAGTATGCAGCTCCAGCCTGGAATCCATAACTAGTTTAACACAAGACAAAGTTAGAGAAGATTTAGAAGTATGCCACCAGACTAGTCCCAGACCCGAGAGATCTGAGTTACGAGAAAAGGCTAAGGGAGCTAAACCTTGCATCCCTGGAAGACAGAAGAATAAGGGAAGGCATGATAACCACCTACAAAATTCTCAGGGGGCATTGACAGGGTGGACAAAGAAACTATTTAGCATGGGTAGAACACGAACAAAGGGACACAGGTGGAGACTGAGTACCCAAATGAACTACAGAGACATTAATAAGAATTTATTCAGTGTCAGAGTAGTTAATAGATGGAATGCAATGATGTAGTGGAGGCAGACTCCATACAAAGTTTCAAGTGTAGATATGATAGAGCCCAATAAACTCAGGAACCTGTACACCAGATGATTGACAGTTGAGAGGCGGAACCAAAGAGCCAAAGCTCAACTCCCGCTAGCACAACTAGGCGAGTACAACTGGGAGAGTACAACTGGCAGAGTACAACTGGGAGAGTACAACTGGCAGAGTACAACTGGGAGAGTACAACTGGGAGAGTACAACTGGCAGAGTACAACTAAGCACGTACAACTGGGAGAGTACAAATAAGCGCGTACAACTAGGCGAGTACAACTAGGCGAGTACAACTAGGCGAGCACAATTGGGAGAGTACAACTGGAAGAGTACAACTAGGCGAGTACAACTAGGCGAGTACAACTAGGCGAGCACAACTGGCAGAGTACAACTGGCAGAGTACAACTGGGAGAGTACAACTGGCAGAGTACAACTAAGCACGTACAACTGGGAGAGTACAAATAAGCGCGTACAACTAGGTGAGTACAACTGGGCGAGCACAACTGGGAGACTACAACTGGGCGAGTACAACTAAGCACGTACAACTGGGAGAGTACAACTAGGTGAGTACATCTAGGGGAGTACACAAGAGTGAAGCTCCAGCAACATACAACACGAGGCACCCAGCACACACCACCAGCTCACGCCCACACCATATCACTCCTGGAGGACAACATGGCTGCCACGTCCTCCACTGCTTAAATTAACCTTATATTTAGTTAGAATTATACATCAATCTCCAATACATTATTTATTGTTATGCACTAAACATAATATTTATACAGGTGCACCAAATATACCATACCAAATTATGAATAAAGATTTTTATTTTGTAAACCTCCATTTGAGGGGTCAAATAGTCTGGTGGATCAGACCAGCAACCAAGGGAGGCCTGGTCAGTGACTGGGCCATGGGGACATTGATCCCTGGAATCTTCAACAGGTAGTCAACAGGTCATTTCATCATTTCTTGGGGTCATTTAAACAAATATTGTACTCTAAGCCTGAGGCCAGACTTCCTTGATCAACCTCTCAACTGTTGTCTGTATCTCAAACCTACACGACCACCTGTGCTCTGCTTCCAGAGATGCTGGCAAGTGTCTTCTCAAAACATATTAAAGATTTCCTTGGAGACATTCTTTTACAGTACAGGATTTGCCATCTCTGATAATAGCCCAATCATTCCTAATCATGGCTTCAACACCGCCTGATCAAGACTGCACGATGTGTGTGCGTTTTCCTAAATATTACGGGTCTGATATTATGGTTATTCCTCAATGTTGTATATGTACTACAGTACTGTACTACATTTCTAATTACATGACAGTACAGTGGTCTTCTTAAGCCCTGTTATCCAGAGGAACTAGCCTTCACTTAGTTCTTTATTCTGTCGTCCAAACAAATCGGAAAATGCAGCAAATGTAAGAGAAGCTTACATTAAATATTTGGGAGATTCAGGAACTATTATATTTGTATTTGTTTTACACAGGTGGGTACAGGAGCAGACAGCTTTTGACTCCTGTTAGCTGGCTTAAAGCTTTCCCTTCCCCCACAGTTCATGCTAAGCCTTATCATAATGGGTTTCCCTGGAACACAACCTTGAATGAGCAGGAACCATCTACCAACTTATTAATGATCATGAGCCTATTATAATGCTGACAAAAATTATCAAAACAAATTTACATCGTAAATCATACACAAGTTTAATTGTGCAAATAAAAAAAAAAAAAACATTAAATTTCATTGTAAACCACCGCAAACATCAGCAAATTAAATTATAAATTTAGCTTCACAATGCTACTCTAGATATTGCAAATACTGAAATGTTAAATTTACATTTGAAAATGAGCACACACAATTTACCTTGTAAATAGCAGGGTTGCCACCAAGAGGAAGCTTTGGGTTGCCCATGAGATGGAGGGAATCCCGCTCGTAAGGAATGCCGCACCACCCACGGAATCGTGACCCCTGGAGACGACAAAAGTACAAGCAAATTAGTTAATTTTTTTAATTTTGCCCCGAGGGGCGAGTTTATTGGGCAGCGCCACTCATCCTGTGAGTGAACACACCGCCATAGCAGAATGTACAACACTCCCCAATAGGAAGAAAACCCGCTGGGTTGTTCATCCTGTCACTTGTACCCAGACACAGCTGGGACTTGCTTAACTGTCTCAAGTGAACACCTCCTCAAACAAGAAGATTAACATTTATCAACCCTTAAAAGCTTACGTTATCTTGCGGGTGCAAAATTGGGAAATCTTTTAAGAACAGTATCAACATTTGACAAAAAGTGTTTTCCTAACTCAAACAATGTGGGGTTTATTATTCTAAATTAGTTTTATTAAAAATTTTACTAAAATTTTACTAAAATTTTACTAAAAATTTACTAAAATTTATTATTCTAAATTCTAGCAAATTAGTTTGACATGGCTATTATCTAAATACACAAAACTACTTATGAACCCCCTTTTTTTTTATGTTTGTGAAAATACTTACCATCAATAATTAAAATGTTTCCCTATACTCGGCATTCTTGTCTCGTTTCCAAGAGTTTTCTTATTTTTGCACAAGTAGAGAGATTTTTCAATAATAGGTTTAATGCTGAGGGTTTAATTCAATTAAAACTATTCATTGAATAACAATTATGAATATATTTACAATTAATCATTGCTTTATTTAACTTATTCATTACTAATTTAAGAAGATGCAAAACCCTCTTAAGAATTATTTCCAACAATTACAAAAAAACATAAGAAATCCATAAGGAATTCATTGCCACTAGATACAAGTAATTGTAGTGATACCAATACCCTGTGCTTCATGAACCTTATGCTAGGAATCAGCACGTGGAAACCCCCGAGCATTCCCCCTCGTGTTTGTGAGGCCACACAAGCGGAGCTGTGACCAAACACGCCCCACAGTTGCCACAGTTTGCTGGCTTCCGACCCACACACCAACATATCCTTGTGGCAAAACCAGGATGTACAAGGAAAAAAAGATTGCAAGACTGTAATACAATACAAATTTGAGTGCTAGTGTTGTGCACAGAGAGAGGGGAGGGAGAAGGGGGCAGAGAATGAGGTGGGAGATGAGAGACAGGAGTAAGAAGGCATAAACTGTAAAGAACAAATACTGACCTCTCTCTCTCGCATCAGAAAATATGCTCAATGGAATGTTCAAAGGAATGCTTTGAGCATATAAACCTGCAACCCAGTGTTTTCAAATAATCTTTCACAAAAATAATCAAATAAAATATTTTATTTAAATAAAAAATTTCGCAGTGTCTAAAAATAATAAACTGAATTATGCTCCAGTAATGTGTTTCCTTCTGAGAGCACAATATATACAACTTTTGGTTACTGTAGTTGAAATATTCTACTTTTTACATCTACTGTGCAAGTCACCCTTTAGAATTGCCACTGCTTATCTAATGTACCAAACATCACACTCACTATGATAACTGTCCCTCCACTCCATGCATCCCTTGTTCTCTCCCACCACCACCACCACACATTCCCCTTACTTGCTTGCTTGCTTGCTCTCTCTCTCACACACACACACACAGAATGCTCAATGCTCAATCTACAATGCTTTAAATGTAGATACAATAGAGCCCAGAAGGCTCGGGAATCTGTACACCATTTGATTGACGGTTGAGAGGCAGGACCAAAGGGCCAAAGCTCAACCCCCGCAAGCACAATTAGGCAAGTACACACACACACACGGCATGGTCTGATAGCTTGTTATTGGTTGAGTACGTATAGTGTATCTCTTGTAATGCCAAGGAAGCGAGTTCGAGCCCATTGTATTCTCTCTCATATAAACTTCGTCAGATCTTGTACCACGCTTTTTAGCATTCCACTTCAACTGATCTTTCAGGCATCCCTGTGTACAAGAAACGTCGCAGACGTGTGGAAAAAGGCTAACATAGTTCCAATCTACAAAAGTGGAAGCAGGGAAAACCCCCTCAATTATAGACCTGTATCATTGACAAGTGTAATAGTGAAAATATTGGAAAAAATAATAAAAACTAAAAGGGTAGAACACCTGGAGAGAAATGATATAATATCAGACAGACAGTATGGTTTTCGATCTGGAAGATCCTGTGTATTGAATTTACTCAGTTTCTTTGATCGAGCCACAGAGATTTTACAGGAAAGAGATGGTTGGGTTGATTGCATCTATCTGGACCTAAAAAAGACTTTTGACAGAGTTCCACATAAGAGGTTGTTCTGGAAATTGGAAAATATTGGAGGGATGACTGGTAAGCTTCTAACATGGATGAAAAACTTTGACTGATAGAAAAATGAGGGCATTAATCAGAGGCAATGTATCGGACTGGAGAAATGTCACAAGTGGAGTACCACAGGGTTCAGTTCTTGCACCGGTGATGTTCACTGTCTACATAAATGATCTACCAGTTCGTATATAGAATTATATGAACATGTTTGCTGATGCAGGCGATGAGTCACAATAACGTGGCTGAAGTATGTTGACCAGACCACACACTAGAAATTGAAGGGACGACGACGTTTCGGTCCGTCCTGGACCATTCTCGACTTGAGAATGGTCCAGGACGGACCGAAACGTCGTCGTCCCTTCAATTTCTAGTGTGTGGTCTGGTCAACATGTTTGCTGATGATGCTAAGATAATAGGGAGGATAAGAAACTTAGATGATTGTCATGCCCTTCAAGAAGACCTGGGAAAAATAAGTATATGGAGCACCACTTGGCAGATGGAATTTAATGTGAATAAATGCCATGTTATGGAATGTGGAATTGGAGAACATAGACCTCACACAACCTATATATTATGTGAGAAATCTTTAAAGAATTCTGATAAAGAAAGATCTAGGGGTGGTTCTAGATAGAAAACTGTCACCTGAGGACCACATAAAGAACGTTGTGAGAGGAGCCTATGCTACACTTTCTAACTTCAGAATTGCTTTTAAATACATGGATGGCAAAATACTTAAGAAATTCTTCATGACTTTTGTTAGGCCAAAGCTAGAATATGCAGAGGTTGTGTGGTGCCCTATCTTAAGAAGCACATCAACAAACTGGAAAAGGTGCAAAGACATGCTGCTAAGTGGCTCCCAGAACTGAAGGGCAAAAGCTACAAGGAGAGGTTAGAGGTATTAAATATTCCAAAACTAGAAGACAGAAGAAAAAAAGAGGCGATATGATCACTACATACAAAATAGTAATAGGAATTGATAAAATCGATAGGTAAGATTTCCTGAGACCTGGAAGTTCAAGAACAAGAGGTCATAGATTTAAACTAACTAAACAAAGATGCCGAAGTAACATAAGAAAATTCGCTATCGTAAACAGAGTGGTAGACGGTTGGAACAAGTGAGGTGGTCTGTTTGTTTGATTCCTGTTTGATGGGGTTCTGGGAGTTCTTCTACTCCCCAAGCCCAACCCGAGGCCAGGCTCGACTTGTGAGAGTTTGGTCCACCAGGCTGTTGCTTGGAGCGGCCCGCAGGGTCACATACCCACCACAGCCTGGCTGATCCGGAACTTCTCTTAGAAAACCGTCCAGTTTTCTCTTGAAGATGTCCACGGTTGTTCCGGCAATATTTCTTATAGTCGCTGGGAGGATGTTGAACAACCGCGGACCTCTGATGTTTATACAGTGCTCTCTGATTGTGCCTATGGCACCTCTGCTCTACACTGGTTCAATCTTGCATTTTCTTCCATATCGTTCACTCCAGTACGTTGTTATTTTACTGTATAGATTTGGGACCCGACCCTCCAGTATTTTCCATGTGTATATGATTTGGTATCTCTCTCGTCTCCTTTCTAGAGAGTACATTTGGAGAGCTTTGAGACGATCCCAATAATTTAGGTGTTTTATCTCGTCTATGCGTGCCGTATATGTTCTCTGTATTCCCTCTATTTCAGCAATCCCTCCTACTCTGAAGGGGGAAGCGAGTACTGAGCAGTACTCGAGACGGGACAGCACAAGTGACTTGAAGAGTGCAACCATTGTGATGGGATCCCTGGATTTGAAAGTTCTCGTAATCCAAAAAGAGTAACAATCAATCAAATAAAATCGAGTCCAAGCGCAGTTAAAAGCTCTGTATCTCAAGGTACAGTCCTTGCACCACTGCTTTTCTTTATTCTCATATCAGATATAAACAAAAATACAAGTCACAGCTTCATGTCATCCTTTGCAGATGACAAAAATCAGCATGAAAATTACCTCTGCTGAAGACATTGAAAAATCTACAAGCAGATATTAACAAAGTTTTCGATTGGGCAGCAGAAAATAACATGATGTTTAACAGTGATAAATTCCAGGTACTCGGGTACGGCAAAAATGAGGATCTGAAACATAATACAGGGTACAAAACACAATCGAATCTGCCCATAGTAGGAAAACCATGTCAAGGATTTGGGAATACAGTAATGATGTCCAATGACCTAACATTTAGGGAACATAACCAAGCAAATATTGTGTCAGCCAGAAAAATTATAGGATGGATTACGAGAACTTTCAAATCCAGGGATCCCATCACAATGGTTGTACTTTTGAAATCACTTGTGCTGTCCCATCTTGCGTACTGCTCAGTACTCACTTCTACCTTCAGAGCAGGAGAGATTGTATTCCCTCTATTTCAACAGAGAGCATACACACCACACATAGACGAGATAAAGCATCTCAATTATTGGGATCGTCTCAAAGCTCTCCAAATGTATTCACTTGAAAGGAGACGAGAGAGATACCAAATAATATACACGTGGAAAATACTGGAGGGCCAGGTCCCAAATCTGAACAGTAAAACAATAACATACTGGAGTGAACGATATGGAAGAAAATGTAGAATAGAACCAGTGAAAAGCAGAGGTGCCATGGGCACAATCAGAACACCGTATAAACATCAGAGGTCCGCGGTTGTTCAACGTCCTCCCAGCGACTATAAGAAATATTGCCGGAACAACCATGGACATCTTCAAGGGAA